TAAATCCTATTTTTTGTTTTTATAAACAATATTATACATTGTAAACAACAAAAGCATGTTTATATTAAATACTGTGAAGAATGTAAATTTAACAGCAAAGCCAGACAACATGACAAAAATCACCAAATATCTATCAATAGCATTCAGCAATCCAAGAAATATAATCAGAGAAAATTGCCTCACGTTTTGCAGCAACGGATTGTGTTTTCACACCAATACACATTAAGTATCATCGTCCCATATTAAAAGCTTTTAGAATTTGCGAGTAATGAATATAATATTGTATCCCATAAAATATTGAGAGCATCAGGAATACTTTTGATATGATTATAGCAAACGGAATCAATCGAAGATGCCATCACAAGACTAAGGTCATATTCATGGTTATATATAGTACTACAGTATTACGTCACAATACCATGTGATACTATTCCGTTGCTCTTGTTGCAAAATGCGTTCAACCGGATGCCATTTTCTCCACTGACAAACCATTGATCCCAATTTCTAACGTAATTATTAAGATGTATCATAGCTTTTCTTTGTAAATTTTAATTGATGATTAAATGTGTTCAATAACTAATATACATGTAATGTGGGCTTTTGTGTTTTTAGCACATTTTGATGGGAAATTATTAGATTTTAAAATTCCTATTCCAGAAAGTCTATTAAGTCATTCAGGTGTAATGAATGGTAGCCAACGTCTGTTGACAACAGAGAGAATATAAGAAAAAAAACAAAACCAGATTACACCCACACATACACCCTCACTTATGCATCAAACAACGACGACAACATACATAATCATATGTGGTACAAAGAAACTATCGTGAAAAAATCAGGCTTTTGTGAACAAGAGTGTCCACTGAATGATAACCTGATGATTGTAAATCCCAACATTTCATCAGCTAGCGACAATATGCACCATAAACATAACTAAAAGCACACAGCGAACGGAAGACATCATTGCTATATATATATATCTACATAGATCTGTTAAATATTGCAGGATATTGCTTGCCATTCATTGGGTATTAAATGATTTTAATCAGATGGATCATATCTGTTAAAATCAACGCAAGCATCGTTAATCCATTTAGATTGCTTGCATCTAACGACTAAACCAAGATTAACATTTATAGGTTTCTGTTCTCAAAATCTCCGCAGATTTCTGTTTTTTCATATATGACTCTTTAGTACCTTTTTAATTGGCTTAGGTTCAGATTTATCTTGATTATAAATGCCATCATTATTGTTTCATGAAATTGAAATGAATGTGTGTTCTTCACTAAACTCATCTTTATTGATTTCTGGGGTAAAATAAAATTGAGATTGAATGAGCGGATTTATCATTTAAAACATCAAAATATTCCCTTCATAATCAAAAATGATTTTATGCTAGCATTCTCTCTTATGATTTGTTTCCATGGAAATAAATATAGATTTATATTTCTGTGAAATGCATGGTAAAATTGTTATTTATAGTCTCTGATGTATGTAGATTGAGTAGTCGTCTTTTTGACCATGGTAAACTATAAATTAATAAATATATAAAGCGGTATATATATATGTATTTAAGACAAGAGTACTGTCATTTGTTACATAAATGCAGTGTTGTTTCTGTACATTAATTTCCATTAATTAGGTTTCATACATTGATTCATTGATTTATATTTGTTTGATGTGTTGGAATTTTGCTGTGGACACAATGATTTCCAGGAATAAAGAATGTATTTCTTACACTGTAGACTATAACTCAAATAATCTGATCCTTAGGTTAGGGTTAGAATGCGCCCTCACCAATCATCACTAAAATGCAGTGTAAATTCTAGCAAGTAAATTAACACTGCCTGTTAAGAATTTCACTCTCATTTAAAGTTCACTTTTGTAAATCATTTCTGAAACTCTGCTGGGGTTTTTTTTGTGTTCTTGTAACTCTGATTTTCAATTCAATTGTATATTATTATGTAGATATAAATATAAAAAAATAAATGAAATATCAATAGTGTTATTTAGATTACATTACTAAATCCCTTTATAGTATATGCAATTATGTGTTACATTTATATGTTTAATATGCAAGGAATTTTTTTTGTGTGGATTTACAATCAGCAAAAAAAAAATAAATAAATAAAAATAAAAAGAATATATATATATATACTGAAATCTACCTTATTTTGTTTTACATTGATTCAGAGGTTATTGAACTTGATTATTACTTGTGCTGTGAGTGATATGCATGTTAGAGTTTTTCTCATATCACTTATCATTTGTTCAACCACTTGTAATCACCCATCAAAATATAATGATTCTGCCCCAAACACAAAAAAATTCTCGCACTTACTTTGTAAATACAGGAAGTGTGGATCCCATTATTTGGAGTCGTGCATACAGCAACAGGAAGGTACCGAATGCTAGGAATAGAATACGGTAGAATGATAATTTAAGGGCCCCTGGAAATGCTACTTTTCCCGACAGCCATGATCTTGCATTTTGTAGAAGGTCCATGCATGAAAGCTGAAAGACATAAAATAATAACAATGCTTAAAATGTGATGTGTTATTTACAAATGCTGACCAAAATATTTAACTTAATTTTGCAGAAAAGAGATAATAAATTAATGTTAATAAGTAAAAGGAAATAGTGTTTGAATGAAGATGCAGTTTTGTGGTACTTTACATCTAAAATGCAAGGGTATTATTAAAGGCTTTTATCACTTATGACTTAAATATTACATTATATAAACAACATACAATATTTTCAGTGCTCTTAGTTTGAATTTAGTCAATCATGTTGCGGTTTATTGTGATCTTTTGTTTTTGAAGGTTGTTCTACACAATGGAATTTTCCCAAATAGTAGTTTTTATACATTTTTAAATTAACTACTTTTTAAATTAAATACACTGGAAACTTATAAATTAACTACATTTCATTTAGAAATTATGAAAATCCTTCATCCTTCAACACTCTATAAATCAAGAATCATTGTGAGGGGAGGATTGGAATTTCTTCTAGCTGTGATCAAAATCCTTGTGTAATTCCGGGATTGAGTGCATAACCCTGGGATTATGTATGTAGACAGCAATCACAACATGATCTTCAATTCTCTTTAACTTTGCCACATCAACAATGCTTCCAATTAAACTTCCATCTGCCAAAGTTTTTCAAAGGCTCAACTGGCATATGGAAAATAATTTTACCAGATTAAACCTTGAAAATATTTTGTAAGTGAAGCTCCTATCCTTCCTACTACTGATCGTAGAGGTAGATTAGTCCATGGAGATCAACAATTAGTCGTACCAAAAGGCATTATGATCCGGTTAAGATTTATCTTAAGAGTTTTACTGGTAAAATTCTCTCTACGACTGCTTTAAAGTGGCTGACCACTATGTTTCAAAGTAGTATAACTGAAGGTAAACATATCAAGCCAGTCGAAAGAATTTACTAGTTACATTCTTTGGTATAAATTCTAGAAACTCCATAAAAAAAATTCAATTAAAAACAACACTGAATTGAACTTTTATTACGCCAATGTTGATTCAATGAGACACTGGTCGCAACAATTAAGTTTGTGCTTCCTCTAAATAAAAGTCGAGAGCTAATACTGACTTAACTGATTTGGAGCAAAGGTGGCCATAACCCACAGTTAGATCAAACAAATCAATAGAAAACATATCTATAATCATTAAAAACATTAGGAAAAGGAAACACAAAAGTGGCTCTATACTAGATTGACTGGAGCGAACTTACTCGCCTGGATTAAATACAATTAAGCATCAAACCACACTACACTATCAGTATCAAAATATGCAGCCTAAAACTTATTCTGCTATCATTTTTAGTAGTAGTTTTACAGACTATATATATGGCAAAGGGAAAGCATTACTTATTACATCAGGGTCAGACAAGTGGATTTTTCAATTTGTGAAGTGACATAAAAATCAATGCCTGTCAAAGACAAACATCCCAGTACATCTGCCAAAGGAAATAATCCATGGTTACGATGAAAAATCCAATGGCTCATCATTTTTTTTTTTTTTTGATGACCAATTTTTCTACCTAAATTATAATTCTCTTCATATCTCAACATTACCAATGGTAATCCTCTTTTCCATGATTTTTTTTATGGTAAGTGAACACTTAATCTCTTCACTCTATTAAATAGAATTCAAGTAATATTACATTTTCCCTAAATTCTAACGCTCTTAGTCACTCATAACTTAATTCTTGTTTCCATGATTTCAGCGTTCTCAATAATGTCATGGAATTCTTACCTTTCTCATAATCTTCTCATTTTTTTTTTTGTAAAATATTTTTTTTAAATGTTGTTGTTTAGGTAATATGGATTTCATATATGAATAATGAATGAATGAATAAATAAATTTAAAAAATAAATATTAATAATAATAATAATAAATAAATAAATAAATAAATAAATAATAAATGATTGACTATGATCTACCTGAATAGTGCAAGGTTAATGTGTGTCAGAATTTACCATGTGCTTGTACTTTATGATTCCAGATCTAAAATAAACATGAAAACTGATGGGCTTTCTCCTACATCTCCAATTCTTGTAAAGCTTTGTTTTGTATATTATTAATAATAAATATTTTGTTATGTTTATTTTATAAATCTTAATGTGCTCCAGCCACAAGTATATCCTATATTATAGCACATACTATCATTGACTTGTCATCTTTTTTTCTTATTGAAGTTCATGTAAATCTATAAATAAGTGATATGCTACAATTTGAAACCTGGAATGGAATGAATAATATATACTAAAATTGTAAGATTATATTATCAATTTCACAACATAATATATTCTCTTCAAATACTAAGCAAACATATTTTTGATGATCTTACTTCTGATTAATCTTGACACTATAATGTCAAATTAGCATCCAATGCCAAGGCCAAATGCACAAAATAATGATTTTTATCCGATTAAAGTGATTAACGTAATTGCGATTCATCAATGACAAAAGTATCCAATTAGTGACGTATTACATTCATTATACTAAAAAAATGTTATTACTATCATGAAATTACTGAATCGTAACTACTTCGCACCAAGAGTTAACCAGTCTACGCATACTAAAATATTGAGCACTCTATGTAAACATATTAAAAAAACGTACACATCATTATACAATTTACAGTTGATGTACACACCCAACTAATAATGGAGATTATCAGCACAAATGAGGGGAACGTGCCATTTTAATGAAAGAAAGCATTTAAGATAATAATAATCTGCTATAAAAACTTGGTTATATTAATTCATATCACTCTGAGTAAAGGGGATGCCTAATGAATGATGCAACATTGGTATTAATATTGATTGTGAGCCCCGAGAAAATTGCATTTACCTTCTGGGCAACGAAAACCTCATAAACACAACAAACACCAACAACTGTGATGCCTTGCTCCTTGCACATAGTAGCCAACGAAACAAACACCATTGTCATGACTAAATGAAACCAATCTGAAGAAATTTAAAAAAAAAAAATATTTCATTAGATGATGACAGTGACATACAATTATAAAAATAAGCATTAAAGTGAATGAAGAATGAGGTTAAAGCCCCATTCCCGGCAAAATATTTCATTTTTTAAAGAAAAATCTGATTTTCATATAATGTTAAAAAGATTTGTAAATATAATACAAAATTGCTAATTTAAATGTATTTAGAGACTCCTAAACTTGAAAAAAACGCAAAATAAGATTTTTTGTGTGAATATTTTTGTTTGATTTTGCGATAGATCTAATCAAATATAGTAGGCACCCACCTAGCCTTACCACGATTTATCTTCTGTTCATCAGACATAAAAATTGCCGACATGAAATTTACTGTTTGTTAGTATTGACACTTGTCAATTAATTCAAATTTGTTAAAAAATTATTCTAACCGAAATTTTGCCAATTAAACCAACATATCTCAGGCCTACTTGATGGACCGCAGTTAGTGAGATGAAAAGGACTAAACTTATCTCATTAGAGAGGGCACACTTTATTTATTCATATCTGCGATATAAACAGTTCAGTAAATCAGATTAATTAATGCTTTTTTTAAATTAATTGTAGGAGGAATTAACATGTGTTATCATGAGAGTTCATAGCATTGGTGGGCGAGATAAAAAAAAGAATGCGGCGAAACAATTACTCTGCCTACCTCCGACGTTCGCCTATAAAGTATACACAAAAAGCAGATGGCGAGAGCATGCCATAGGATGCGATCTACAACCTCTGAATTTGCCTAGTAACGAAGAAGTCATCGAGCAAATGGTAATCTCCTATGAGAAATGGTCTATTTTTTTTTTCCTTTAGTGTAAAACTAAAATTTATGCTAATAAAAGACCTGCTTTATAATAATTAGAGTAATGCATATTTTTTTTTATGAAATTTTTTTTTTTTTTGTGATTTTTTTTCTGGCAATGGGGTTTTAATATGTACTTGCCAAGTTCTCTCACTGATTAAAAAATCATGGCACAAATTGTATTCCACTAATTCATCAATTTTTGTTTCCTTATTCATACTTTCATTTACTCAATGTACTTTTAATATTTGTTCACCAATTTATTCACATTTTACTCATTATTCTTATTTTCATTTAATCAATCTAGCAATTATTCTTTCATGCATTTCATCATTGAATTTTCCTTTGTTCATTCATACAGTATAGAGTTATTATTCTTGACAGATTTGTTTTCAATATACGGTAAGGCGTACAGTATACAGTTATTATTCTTGACAGATTTTTTTTCAATATGCAGTAAGGCGTGAAAAATTGAAAAACAAGATACCTAATAAAATAAAATTATTGTATTCTACCAAAATAAACTGAACCATAACAGGTAAATAATATCCTTGACTAAATATTTAAATTCCCATACCATCTTTATCTACTAGGCATTTTCTTAATTTTACTTGGAAAATATTGAATGTAATATAAAATTATACAGATTTGCATTGAAAAGACCAACTGTTTTTATCAGTGCCTGTTACAGTCATTCTTTTGACTAATTGGCTAATGGCTTGTGAAGATTATGATATATGGAAGCTTATTGCTCAACTTTAGCTGTGTTCTACTTCATCAAAAACATCTCCATTTGCATCATTGGAAGTATACAGACCAGTGTCTTCTAATAGTTGCATTGCCAACATTGGGTCAATGTTGTAAAGTTTAAGGAGGTCAAATAACTAAGAAAAACAAGTTTACTTGAGGGTATACAGCAATGTCCTTGTTTAAATTTTATTTTTTCGTGTACCGGTACATTTGCTAAAAATGCTTGAATATCGGTAAAAAGCATACAAAAGACTACATGACGCTAGGATCATTTGGAGTTATATGACCGATGACTATACAAATAATGCTGGATTCAATGAAGTAGCTGAGATAGATTAAAAACTGAATCTCTCTTGTCTTCGAGTGATCTATATATAAACCGTAGAGTAAACATTATTAAAACATACTATACGGCTGATATTTACTTTATACACACACTACTTACTTCGAAATGAGTAAGATTTCATTGGAAAATTAAGGTTAACAGATCTTGAATTGCTTTCAGCCAAGGAGTCAATAAGACAGAATCACATTCATCACATATTGGCCTCCTGAAAGCATTCAGCATGAGTGAAATCAGTAGTAATCCATCTAAAAGTTTGTAATTGCATTGGGCATCAAATGTAAGAAGATGTATTAAAGATGACATAATAAAAGTATCGTAGCTCACCCAGTAGCCGGCTATTCTATGTGTTACTCAAACAGCTTATAAACGAACAATTACTAAGTTATGAAGCTAAAATTGACACCTAATGGATCTAAAACAAAGAGAAAATACTAGACATATGCTACACTAATACTGATACGTCTCCTAGAATTTTTACTGTCGCCCAGTCAGAACGGCGGTGTAATCCTAAATTGAAGTGAAATGGATTTAGTAACAAAGAAATACCAAAAACATTACACAGAAGAGATTTAGCAAAGATCAAGAGGTGTACAGCACATTATGCTTTACAAAAAGCTTATGTTCATTACAACATGATCAATAAATTAGCACTTTGTAATTGAAGGATTTGAAGTTCAGAGTCCACACATTGCCATCATGTTAGGGTTCAGTTGACTGAAGGGTATTGCTCCTGGCTTTCACATCTTTAGAACCTTGTCTATGGGAGCAAATTACCTCTAAATCTGCCACTCGCTTGGATGGCAAACAAGAGAGCCTAATTGGTGCATTATTATTCAAGGTCCAACATATATTTGTGGTACCATCTAATTTCCAAGTTACATAGGAAATTCTTCTCTGCTTTCTAACATGATTCGTCTTTCAACATTAAGCTTTCTACAATTTATTTCCATTCTATCTGTTTAGGGCAAGATGCGATGGTGAGTTAACATGTCTTTAATGTTTCCAATTTGACATCTACTGAATTTAGCCTACAGATGGATTTACTTTTCATTTCGAATATCAATGTTATTATTTACATGGAAGTGCCAATTATCTTGCACACACAGTAACAACTGATTACACAACTCAATTTTCTGTATATTTAATAAAATTATAACAAAAATTCCACAAAACACAAATTAGCCTCATACATAAATTGATGAATAATTGATTAGTAAAAAAATGTTGGATGCATTCAATTAATGCATCCAAGCAAAATGTAAATTTAAACTGATAATCAACACAAGACATGACAGGAGTAGTTATTCATACTACTTACCATATTTATACTATGCACCATACCATATTTATAGTGGACAAATAAACAGTTCTTGAAACAGTGACTACTGTACTACTAGTACTACACTATCAAAGCACACATGCGACAAGAGCCAAGTTCTCACTGCACCGACGTGATTCTATGGAGAACTCAACGCCACAATGTACGCGCAACAGATTGATTTTAATGACGATCTGTTTAGATTGACAATAAAATTCAGTAGAGGATGTTGCATCGTAAAGCGCTAACAGAGAGCGGATTTGGATTTGTCGGCCGGCGGTGGTATGACGCAGTGAGTACCAGGCTTAATGCTTACATGGCATCAAATCATTTCCGATGATGGATTCTTTAAAAAGAGCACTGATTATAAGAATCCGAGGCTATAATCTGCACCACAGCCAATCATTGGGATAGACAATTCAGAATGTTTACATATTTAATCAAGTATAAAGGGATGAATATAGGCCCAATAAAAAATTAAGCAAACAGGTGGGACTGCTTCAATAAAGAGCAATTTATTAAAAGGTATATCTACATGTCGCATCATAAACAATCATGGGAATAAATTGTAAAGCATGCTTACATTTTCTATAAGTATAAAAGGATGAATGTGGGCTCAACAAATAATGAGGTGTAGACATTGCCTTGAGAAGCGATTGATTAAAAGAATAGTTTAAAATTACCCTTCCTTGAGGGTTTCTTAATTACCTTAATTGTAGGCTTTCGTAACACTTCATCAATAAGCAATCCCCACACACCTGACCTTCACAAACAACTTAATAATATATGGGTAGGTAAATGCAACACCTTTTAATTAAGTAAGTGTTCACAATTACTAATTAAAACAGCATATAAACGCCTGTAGGTCTCTGAGGAGAATAATGATTTACTAGAAAGAAAGATAGTGTTGGCTTCCCTGACAGATTAACAGTGATTATTGATAGAATTGCAGTAATTATGACTTGCTTTACAAAATAGAGTTCAGTGTATAAAGTTATTAAATATTCCATGTTACCTGTATATTGCAAGAATCTGGAATGATCTCCTTAAAGCATTTCAAATTTCAATATTTCAAACGATCGCTTTCTAAGACTTACTTATTTAACTAAACAGCACTAATTACATGAATCCCTTGGCTATTGTGTTTATCCTGTTGTCTTGTCATTGTTTGGTTAGCCCTTTGAGAAATATGGTTAGACTAAATTTTATCATAGTACTATGAGATTTTTCTTGGGTATTGTGGTCTATTCAATTGTGAACACTTGGCTTCAACTTTGTAACCCTGCAATGTAGTGAACCTTGGAGTACAGTATATCAATTCCCTGGGAAAGTATTTCATGCAGATAGTCATTTGTGTACCAAACTCCTAAGCACTCACTTGTACTTCTGAGAGGGCCAAGACAACCTGACAATGTGGATAAACATCCCTAACCAAGGACACACACAAGTGGGAATCTTTAGACTTTAAACCCGGCCTAAGTTTTATTTCTGCGGTGTACATGTTTGCAAAAAGTTTATATTTTTTTTTTAAAGATATTATCGGGCAATCACTCAGAAGACGTTCTTTTGCAATTACTAACTGAATCAGATAATTTGTTTTCTCTACTTATGCCGACTGCATATCCATTTTATAAATGTAAAATCAATAACAGTTTTGCAAAAAGGAAAGATAATTTAATTTGACGCAATTTAATGTAGTTATTTTTACCTTACAATATACCATCAATAAAAATTTATTCTGAAAGCTTTTTCTTC